TTACTACTCACCAAAGTAGGATGTAGAACAAGATTTTTATGTATGTACTATGTTGTGCCTACTGAGCATGATGACTCTGAGACTATGGTCCCAAACCTGCAAATCTGGTGATTCTTCCCCTCAAGGTGTTTGGTTGTCTCTGAGAAGCTACTCCACATTGTCCTCTGTTACTTCTGTAATATATGTGGATAATTTTGTAGCACAAGTACATATGTAAGACTATGTTCAGCCAAATCTATCATTGGTCTTGGGTATATTCCGAACAACTGCATCCTTTGCCATGAGACCAGAACTGGATGGTGCCCAGCTACTATCAGTGAACATTCTGATCAAAGATTCCATAGAAGAATCCTGATTAAAAGGGGAAAAATACAGAATTTCAAATTCTCATGGACTCCAGACTATAATCATTGAAACTTAAACCAAACATATCCTCTGAGGTTTTAAAACCAAGCAATAGTTTAGTTTAACTTGAATATTTTGGTCTTTTAAGATCTATATGAAGCAAAGAAGAGTGAAGAAAACCAAAGACTCATGGAAACAATTAGTCCAAGCGACTGATACACCATACATCCTCAGCATATATGATTATGAGACCAGAAGAACTAGATGGTGCCTGGCTACCATGGTCAACTATCTGGAGGGGGATCTATCTATATAGGAGATCCTGGATAGAGTGGGAGAATGTGGAACAAAACTTAAAATTATTTATAAAAAAAGAAAAGAAAAAAAAAGGGGGACCAGGTTTCCTGGTATGATAAAGCCTAATGGAACTACTGAGACTATGGCCCCTAGCTGCTCTTCAGGTCTGGAACTGAACCCACTCCTGTGGCTTCCAGCGAAACAAAAGATAGCCACATGAGCTGAGTGTTTACATTAGGTAGGTACACTCCTTTGAGAGATCAATCATGGAAGAATAGAAGGGCTGTGTATGCACAGGGAGACAGGTCGGGGGCAGGAATGCATGGGAGGGAAGGACACAGGGAAGAACTACAGAGAGGAAGAGGGAGGGGAGCTGTTGCATGGTGGGAAATTGCAGTCAATGTCATGAGACAAAGTGTATGTGAGCTGCTATATAGAAAGTGAATTTGCTCTGTAAACTTTCACACAAATCACAATAAAAATTTTAAATATAAAATAGAGAACTATATGAGATCAAAGTGATACCAGCAATGTGAGAGATTAGATAGGAACCTTAGGGGGCAGTAAGTTTATGTTAATAAGGGAAGAGCAACTTGAAAAAGGAGGGTAAGAATAGCTGCATAACTCAAAGAAAGTAATGTCACTGAATTGTATGTGTAAAAATTGCTATGCATATTCTCAACAACAAATTTAGAAAAATAGAGTTTGGGCTCTCCCACTCTAGAGGTCTAATAGAAGAAACACAGACAGACACTCATACCAATGTTCACTGCAGCACTGTTCATAATAGTAAAAAGATAAAAACAACCTAATTGCTATCCGTGGATGAAGAGAAAAACAAAATGTGGTACATTATGTACAATGAAACACTATGCAGGCACAAAAAATAATGATGAGTTTTCAAAAAAACATAACGTGGATGAATCTGGAAGTCATTATGCTGAGTGAAGTAAGTCAATCACAAAAGGACAAATATCATATGACCTCACTTTTATAAAATCACACACTCAAAAAAAAAAAAAAAACAACCCACTGCCATCAAGTTGATTCCAACTCACAGCAACCCCCATCGGGTTTCCCACCCAAGGCAGGAAGGTGGGAAAGCCAGGGCCAACGGCAGCCAGATCCAGGTAAGGGGAAGGAGAGAGGCCCCACCCAAGGCAGGAAGGCAGGAAGCCAGGGCCGACAGCAGCCAGATCCAGGTAAGGGGAGGGCGGAGAGGTTTGAACTAAGGGAGACAAACTTGTCT